CATCCATCCCCACCTGTGCCCTATTCTTTCCTTGTGTTTCTTTAGAGCCTTTTCAGCTATTTCCTGTGAAGCAAACTGCACGAAGGCCTCCCCCGTACTCCTCCCCTGGAAGTCCACCGGCAATGTTATCCCATTTGGCACGATTTCCAACCCTTCAACCCAAGGACAAATAACCCCAGTAGGGGGCAATATTAACATCACAAGCCCAGTCATGAGTTTTTCTTATAGCTTTAAATACACCAGAATTTTAATACTTGCAAGTGAATGGTATGCTGACTTTAGAACATTAGAAGAAAGAGCAAGTCAACAAAGGCAATCCATGATCACATACCATTCCCTTGACATTCTTAACCCACCCTGCAGAGCACAAAAAAATTCTGAGTGTGGTGACCAGCTCCTCAGACAAGGCATCTAATGCAGGGTGCGTCAAGAAGGTTACATTACTATTAAAAAGCTCTTCAATTCTGCAAAAGTACTTAATTTAAGCTCAATTTTAATTTAACATTAAAAAAATCAAACATAGCAAGTTAAATAGCTTTACATTTAACAAGAATTTTTACTAGAAATCACTCATGTAAAATAATCACTTATGCAAATGTCAAGTTCAGTATTTTTATCTATATAAGTGCTTAAGTAAGAAAAAATCATGAAGTAATTTCAAAGATATTAGTTTCTGAACAGAAGCATATTTTGCACATTAACTATATTACACACATTAAAAGTTTAACACTTAACCATATAAAAACAATGTAAAATGCACATGCTTATAAATTGTTCTCATCTATAACATTACTGATTCATATTAAAAAAAGCAAATTCTAACTTTAAAAACTGGAAAAAAATATTTCTAGTAGATTTTAGAACACAATAGGCATATATGAATCATATCAACAGACTTGTTAAACCAAAACATTCTAGCTAGTTTTATAACATTCATATTTAGAAGTTTACTACTTAATCGCTATTAAGTTCAATTCTAGAAAACAGATTTCATTCTTATGCATTTATAACATTCCAATTCCTAAAATAAACATACAAGAGCTAGGAAAAAGTGAAAATTAGAATCTAGAACAAGACATTCTTTTGATTCATCAAAACTTTATGCTATAAAGTATCAAAGATGGGGATAGGGCTGGGAAGTGGAGGGGCAGAAACTGCATTTGGGCAAGATAAGCGGGAAAGGGGGCAGGGGGTCTGGAATCTTAACACTAAATTTGAGAAACGTGGGCAACACCTTCCATATCTTGTTGTCCTAAAGTTCTGCTGATTTTACTGGGCCCAGGGGTAAGTGGCAAAGTGACCTTCACAGCGTGACACATGGGCTAGCTGAGTCAGTGGGTGGAAACATCCTCCCATTTTTTTTGTTCACTTTTGGTTTAAGAAGCAAGACACTTTTCTGCTGCCCTTACATGGAACAGTATGTTCCAGGACACGTGTATCAGTACAACTTTGGGGAGGTTCCTCAGCTATGTGATGAATGGATACACCCAGGCAATTTACCTGTCAAGCCCGGATAACTAATGAAGGGTTGTTTATTTACTATTAACATCCCTCAGTCATCTGCTGGAGACATTACTGGGCCATTAGTGGCTTTAGCATTGACCAGTAACTACAGCTAGTGCTTTTACCCCACATACCTGAAAAGAACTGTACAATTTCTTCTTTACTACAGCCAAAAGGGAGTCCTCTAAGACGTACAAAACCATCATTAGCCGTATCAGGGCTGTTGGGACCAGTATGCTTCAGAACCCAATCCATTTCAACGTTGTTTGACTTGAAAACTGGAAAAGGCACTCAGAATTAATGCATTCTGGAATGCGGTAGCTGTTTTAAAGTCATCTGCCTTGAGAAACAAGTCAACTTGTATGTTATGCAAGTCCATTTGTCCTCTTACATGCATTTAAAAAAGAGACAATAAAAACAAGCAACTGAAAAGCTATTAACTACAAAAAAACACATTTAGCCATTTACTAGACCAATTGAGTCAAACCTTCAACATATCTGTGTCCCATTGTTTCTCTGTCTTTTTTCAGTGCCAATTTCACATCGTCCTCTGATTCAAGTTCAACAAATGCTTCTCCACTTGGTCTGCCCTCCCTTGTGTAGATGAAACGGATACCTGAAGCCCCATTTAGAATTTTGCATTCTAAAAAGAGAAACAGGAAGGTCAGAGATGGTTTAATTAGAAACACAATGGCAGATATGGGATAATAAGGACTTACTAAAAACTAACATTGCATCGAAAAGAAACAGTTCTACTGAACTCTGAAAGATGACACTAAACTAAGGACTTGCCTACAATCAAAATATCTTCCCTCCAAATCCAACTGTTCTGGATGACCAAAACATCAAGAACAAACTCAAATTAACTCAGTGCTAATTATCTTCAGTATTTTGCAGTTTAAAGTCACATTTTCTAGCTCATATTGCTCTCTGATTTATATTACAGATTTATCTTATACTGTCTGCTCCATAAGAAGATAAAGGTGGTTACAATTACTGTAATCCCAATGAATGAAGTCAGGACCAACTGCAATACATCAAGCTCCAGAAGTACTTTAATCATGTGCTTTCTTCAATAATCACAGTGACTACTGTGTTAATGCATCATCACTGTAATAAAGTATTTGGGACTAAATACCTAACACCTGACTGCGTACCAGAACACAGTCAAGAACTAAGTTTACTTAGGGGAGCCTCCAGTTCTCTCTTCTAGTTAACCTATGGAAATTGTAGCTATTCAAGGCAACTCTCAGGCTGAACTTGTCTAGTGCCTACTGGCACATACATGGCTTTCCAAGCACGCCCTAGCTGGGCCACTTGTTGAATTATCAATTTCAGCTGCTCCAGGGGATTCTAAATGCTTCCTGAAACCGCTCACTGCTTCATTCCTGCCACCAAAGCCCCAAAGAGGGGCTCCGAGGAAGCTAGGCCCCCTTCCCCCATCTCTGCTTACCAGAGAAAAATCTCTGCACCTCCTCTGCAGAGCAGGACCAGGGCAGGCCCCTCACTTTCACCACGTATCCCTCGCCGCTCTCCGTGTTCAGCATCATGGTGGTGGTAAGGCTCGGCTCTGTCTCCGTTTCTGGGGCCGCTGAAGAAAACCAAAGGGAGCACTTTGAGAGGCCGCAGCGCGGCCAGCGTCCGTAGCCCCTCGAGCGCCCGGCGGCCCCCCGGCCTGGGCCCGCCCGCCCCCGAGCCTCCTCTACCTCGGACCGCTGCCCACCGTCACACACACAGAGCCGCTCCCGCCTGGCCCGTCCCCCCGGCCCGCGCCCAGCCCCCCATCCCCGCACGCACACATGGTGGGGCTCCGGTGGTTCTAGGGCTCCGAGCCTGATCCGCTGTCCGGAGAGCGCCTAGTCCCGGTCAGGCAGCAGCGAGCGGGCGAGCCTGTGGCGAGAGCGCGCTAGGAAATGGCGGCGGGTGCTCCTGCTTCCGCTGGGCCGGGCCTTCAGCCGCACAAAGAACCCCTGCCCCGGGTGCTGCCCCAGCTGCCACGACGCCTCGCAGTCCCCGCCGCCGCGCCCGCTTCCCGCTCGGGGCCCGACAGCTCCAGGCTGGGGCCGGCTGCGCCGCTCAGCTGCTTCTCCGGGGTCGCGGTGTGGCTGAGGGAGGCGCGGGGCGCATGCGCATGAGCCCCGGCGCGCTCCTGGCCCCTCCCCCGCAGGCCCCGCCTGCGCATGCGCTCTGGGACCACTGCTCTGCTCCGCCCCGCACACACACCCTCACCGCTTCCGCCACGTTGCGCATGCGTCCTCGCTAGCCTCTGTCCCCCCCCTCCCCCGCGCGGGCGTGCGCGCATGCGTCGTTTGGCTACGTCCTCCGAACAAAAGCCAAGGCGCGGAGTCCCGCGCAGAGCGCGGGCCGCCCAGCGCGCGTGCGCCCCCCAGCGCCGCGCGCCGCACTGCGCATGCCCCGGACGCCGCTTCCCGCCCGCCCCGCTGAGGCGCGGGAAGCCGATCGCGCGGCCGCCATGGCGCCCGCCGTGCTGGGAGAGGCGCCTGTATGGAACGGGATAGGTGGGAACTAGCACTTACCAGCTTCAAATGCTGACGCTACCCCACGTGAAACAATCTGCTCGCTTCGGTCACTGAAGCCTGGTGTGTTTGTAGGAGATGGGGAGAGAAGAAACATGGGTCACAATTATCATAATAAAAAGGTAAAAAAATACTACTCCCTCCCATCTCCTCCAAACACACCAGACCTTGCTAGATTTCACCCTGTATCTCCAGTAATAAAAGCACCCGGCCCTGCGTTACTGCAAATAACTACTGTAGTGCAGCCTCAGAGCGCTGTACTTGAAAAACACTCAAATGCCCCAGCAGCCACACTGCTTCTTTACGGTGAAGGTGAGGGCAGCAGCTCCTATTCCAGCTGGCAGCTGCCCACCAGGTCATAGAGAACGCATGCCAGGAAGTAAATCAGTCTCCATAAAGCCCTCAGCATGTTTATACTAAATTGGAGTTTCAGAGTTTAGCAGTAAGGCCACACAGAACAGCTTCTGACACCTCAATCCTTTAATTCATGGATTTTTTATTATTATTTATCCTCCATCTAGTCATTTGCCTGAGTTATTTTATAGCTCTGGAGACGCATTAAATTCAGTGCCTACATATCTACACAGCATGATTTTTATCTGAGCAATCTGATCATCTGCCTCCCTCCAAAGCTGCAGATTTAAACATGTACACACAGATAAAAAAAAGTATAGATATGGAATAGAAGGGCTTGACTTAATGCAAATCAAGCAGCTGAAGCGTTTTGCAGCAGCTCCGTTACAGTCGCTTGACTCCTAACAAAAGAGAACTGCTCCATTTCCCTTGTTCTCACAAAGAGCCCCCAAGCAGGAGCAGCGGCGGGGCAGGCCGGTGGCGCGGAGGGCCGGCCCGCGCCCCGCGGGGAGTGGCGGCCGCCGCCCGCCCCCTGCCCGGCGGGAGCCTTAAAGCGCGCGGTGCAGCCCGCGCGCCGCCGCTGGTGCCTGCCCGCTGCCTGCCGCCATGTCCACCCCCGCCAAGCGGCTCTGCCGCAGCCCCGCCGGCTGCCTCGACTCCAGCTTCCAGAAGCGCCTCAAGAAGATCTCCATCGAGGGCAACATCGGTGAGCGCCGCGGGGGGAAGGGCAGCGCCTCCCGCCACGACCTGGGCCCGCAGGGACCCCGCAGCAGGGGACGAGGGGCAGAACGAAGGGGGCTGGGGTCGGGCAGGGAGCGCCGCGGCTGCAGCCCCGGCCCCGCTCCCGGAAAGGCGCCCGGGGAAGTTGGCGCCACGCGCAGGGTGGGGGAGGGTCCGGCGCGGCCCTCCCGCGGTTCGGCCGCCCTGAGGCGGCGCTCGAGCCTTGGCGGGAACGAGTGCCGCGCTCTTCCCGCGCTAAAGCCCGGCTGGGGCTGCCCCGCTCCCTCCGCGGCCCGGCGGGCTGGGCTGAGGCGGCCGCGCGGGAAAGCGACCGGCTGCCAGCGCCCAGCCCGGCCGCTCCCCGCTGCGGCCGCCCAGGGGGCGCCATTCCCCTGCGCCGCCCCGCAGCGTTCGCGTCTTCTGCAAGGGCCAAGCCGCCGGGCGGGGCCTCGCGCATGCGCGGCGGCTCCCTGCCCGGCTCCAACAATGGCGCGCAGCCCCGCCCGCGCGAGACCCGTTTCTAAAATGGAGGCGGCGGCCGCTGCCGGCCGCGGCGCCGCTCGCGCCTTATCGCTCCCGGCGAGCCCACCTGCGGCCAGAGATTAGCTCGGCCTTCGCGGAACGCGAATCAGCACCGTGCAGGGCAGCACGGGAGCCCTTCCCGGGGCAGGAGCCTGCCTGTCCTCCTCAGTCCCATCGCCACAAACCTCTCCAGGGACCCCTTAAGCACCACTCAATTTCAGCTACTGGCACTGCCTAAGCCACATCTTCAATGGATTTCTCAAACCTTTCACAGCTGCAGGGAAGTCTACATTTGTCAGGCTGCTAGAGAAGCACAGCGATGAGTGGGAGGTGATCCCTGAACCCATTGCCAAGTGGTGCAACATCCAGACTGCAGAGGACGAGCACGAGGTGGGTGTGGAAAGCTCGGAGCCGAGCGCTGGGGGCAGGAACCAAACGGACTGGCCAAGGCAGCCATGCCACAAGGCTGCTGCATTTAGTCTGGAGACGCAGGGTTTCTTCCTGACACCAGTCAGCCCCACTACAATCCTTGTCTGATTAGACTGTAAGCTATTTATGAACAATTAAGCATGTCTTCCAAGATGGCACTCCCATCCCAGGAATCACTTCTTGAACTGTGATATGGTCTTGAACCAGACCACAAAGTCTAAAATACACTGATCAACCTAAATAAGCTGTCAGACTAAGCACACTACCATAAACAAGCAACAAATCCTTACCTTCCCACATCACTTCGCCAAAACTACAAGATGCATATTCTTAAAGGTACAAAAAATTGGATGAAAGTTAAAAAAATGCATCCAACGCTAAAATATACTATTGTCTAACGAATTCTCACTTATTCCACAGGAACTTTCCACATCTCAGAAGAGTGGAGGAAATCTACTGAAAATGCTGTATGATAAACCCACAAGATGGGCCTACACATTTCAGACTTACGCCTGCTTGAGCCGTGTAAGGGCACAACTAAAACCCATCTCAGCCAAGCTACATGAAGCCGAACACCCAGTGCAGTTTTTTGAGAGATCAGTGTACAGTGACAGGTAACTACTCTCAGCTCTGAGTACTAAAGCTTGCAAGGGACAGGTTTAACACTGGTGCCAGGTAAACAATACTCCATGAATGTGAGTGGATAATTCAGTGCTACACTTCTGATTGAGGAATTATTTTTGTAAAGTAATTCACTTTTTGACATTTCCTGGCATTATTTTTCATTGCAGATATGTGTTTGCTTCTAATCTGTTTGAATCTGGAAACATCAATGAAACAGAATGGGCTATTTATCAGGACTGGCACACGTGGCTATTGAACCAGTTTGAGTCTGATATAGAACTGCATGGCATGATCTACCTAAGAACCACACCTCAGGTATGTTTCAGAGGATGGAAAATATTAGTTGAAAAGCTGTTTCTAGGAGGTTTAGAAGGTACTAAGAATAAATAAAACTTCTCCTCTTTGAGCTGCTATTCTGCTTGTAGATATTATGATGCTAAAATTGCTAACACTCCATGCTTTTAATTAAGAATTCTAGGCTGAATTTTGATAATCAAGTTTGGCTCAACCTTAACTCAGATTTTTAGATGTTTTTATTATTAGGATTGTCAGTCTTTTGCTTAATGTTAGCATAGTGAGCATGTTCTTATGTTCACGGAACCTGAAGCAAGCCATTTAACAAAGCCCTAAATAAAGATACCCCACATATTACTAAGTGCAATTAGAGAAGCCTTGGTAGTTTTGGTCATTAAGTTTTAGTCCTTCTGACTTTAAGGTCAGTTTGGTTGATTTAGTCTTCATCACACTACTGATATTCAAGTTTACATTTATTTCTCCCTGCCTAGAAATGCATGGAAAGGCTTCAGAAGAGGGGAAGAGAAGAGGAACAAGGAATTGAGCTTGAATACTTGGAAAACCTCCATTATAAACATGAAACATGGCTTCATGAAAGGACTATGAGGTATGAACTTATTTTCTGAAGGTCACTACTACTGAGGGCAGAACAGCTTTAACATCCTGTTGCAGTAATAAAGCACAAACTGAAACTAGAACTGTTCAGTAATAAAAAACAACAGCTTGTTGCTTTATAGATGAAAACTTTCAAGATTTCAAACCAGTAAACAAAGGTAACAAATAGGATAGAGTTTAAGATTATATTCAGGGGTTGATCATAGAGTTACTTTACTAGTCAGCTTCCAAGTTTCAATAGGAGGGAAGGCAAGGTCTCAATTACCTCTGAACTATTGACTATTTCAACTAGGTTGAACTATTGACTATTTCAACTAGGTTTAAACATTAATCATAGCTTCAAAATAAACATTTACTAGAAAGGCTTGCACTTGCATTATTATACACAAGAAGCCTTGTCCGTGACTAAACTAGCTCTGCATACCTTTCTCCTGCCAGCCTCTCCTAATGACTTATTTACCCTCCTGCATAAGGATTTGTTTAAAGCTCTGTGAAAGAGCCTTAGATTTCTGCACCAGGAAAGCCCCAAATGCTCTACCAGATGGGAAGCTGGGAAATAAACATCTTTTATTACTTCCTGAAACACCTGACTCTAGCACAGCAAGTTGCTGCACAACAGAAAAAAATCAATTAAACATTTGAAATTGGGGCTTGGCAGACAGGCCTTTTTAGCTGAAACAAACTTTTTCCAGACAAACTCTAACAGACTCATAACAATTCCAGGAAGAAAACATTAGGTCATGCCGTCACATCTGCTCTCCTAAATGTAAGTTCAATGCAGGATGAGCCAGATGCTCAGGGGCAAGGATGGACTGCATGGTGTGGAATTCAGAGAATGTTTATATTATCTGCTCACAAGTTTGGAATGGAACAGAGTGTGTATTTCCTGATTAGTGTCATGCCCCCTCTCCAGAAATGCTTGGTCTGCGAAAGTGCTTTTCATGGACAATAGATGCTGCAAAAGTTTCAGCAAGTTTCTGATATGCATTTAAGTTATGCTGATAATGTTCACTGGTTATACAAGAGCAATTAAAGGCAGACTTAACTAAGGATTTATACTTAGGTCATTGATATTAGAATTAACATTTCTGTTGCATGTGGTAATCTGAATAATGCTGTACCCTTAGAAACAAACTTGGAAGAGCTACAATGTATTTTTATACCTGTTTTACTGCAATGACCTTTTCCTTTAAGAGTCGATTTTGAGAACCTTAAAGAAATTCCTGTACTAGTTTTGGATGTTAATGAAGATTTTAAGAATGATAAGATTAAACAGGAATACCTGATTGATAAGGTAAGTGTTAAATAAGGCTCTCAGATGCTCTTTGTTGTTTTACAGAAATAGCTCTTAAGCCTTCAATTTTGTTTTAAAATGCATCGCTTGCATTAATGTATCAAGTTTAGTCTAGCCACCTTTGGCTAAATTGTTTGACAATGGCAGTTAAGTCTCCTTTGTACAGTTAGGAGGTCATGCAGCTATAAAAAGCTAGTTTAACCCAACCTCATCATTCTCACTTAGAGCAGGTTTTTTTTTTTTTTTTTTGAGAGAGAGAGCAGGGGGGGCAGTTGTGGGGGAGACAACACACAACAGCTGAACTGGTCAGACTGCTCTCAACCAAGGCCACACTGCTGTAGTGTTCATTAGGTAGTTCACAGAACTGTGTCACAATTCACATTGGCCATGATTCTTGAAGGGGAAAGAAAAGACATACCACACACAATAGTCTGAGCTTTCACGCTCCCTCCCATTCTACGAACCTAGACTATTCCTTGCCAGAGTATAAAGTCATACTCACAAACGTGGAGAGAACCAAGTTTTAACAGCAGTTCTCAGCACTCATGTGCCTCTCACGTGAGGCTGAGTTGGGAGGGAAAGAAAACAGCCATTAGGAGAAACAAGGTTGCAGCAAACAGGTCTCAAACAAAATGGTGCTTGCCAATTCCTGCCAAAGACAGACAAGCCTCAGCAAGTAGGGCAATGTGTGAAATGCTGCAGTGATTCTGGGTTCATCCCCATCCCTCTAAGCACAGAACTACAATATTTTGTTCAGTGAGTCACCAACCTCCTCCTAACATCCCAAGATTACTCTTTAAAGAGTATATGGCATCTTAGAAGTCTGATATGAGGGCAAACTGGAGAAGTGGAAAAGTATCAAATGACAAAAATATCAAGGCATTTGCTAACAAGCTATATCCTTATGAAAAGGTGCAAATAGCAGCTTACAGGGTTAAGAACAAAACTACACCCACAAGAACAAAACTACACCCAACTGCCAAGATTAGGAAAGAATAAGGGAAGTATCAAATCAATTAATATCAAAAGTATGAATTTTTGTTTCGTTTTTGGAAAATCCCTTTCTTTCTGGAGAAAGACTTTCATGAGTCATGTATGTTTGCTCCTTCCTAAGGACTTGCTTGTTAACCCCACCCACAACTCCCTCATCGGCGGCCATTTGCTGTGCTGTAAGGCAGCTCAATTGTGTACAAGCAAGGCCATGTTGAAGGCCGGCTATAGGTGTACCTTAAGTGCAGAGATAAAAGCCTACAATCTAGTAAATCTGTTTCTAACAAAATAGTAATGCTTTCTTTTCACAGGTCAAGTCTTTTTTGACTTTGTAGAGATCTGAAGATAACCGCAAGTGACCAGCCCCAAAGTGCAAGAGTTTAATCAAACAATGCTATGTGCTTAGGCAATTTAACTAACAATGTTTTATCGCTACAGCTTAAGCATTTTGCTAAAGTTAAATATGCAAAATATAGACCTATTTTTTGCTTGTACAGAACAAATTGATAGAATTCTTTGTAGTTTAAAGGAAAAGTGTGATGCTTTAAAAAAGTACTCATTTGTGTATACATGTTGCTTTTTTTAAATAAAGACTTTACATTAAAACAGACAAAGCATAGACTCTAGCTGTAGACGAGTTACTGGTTATCAGGGCCGACAACCAACTGGAGATACCAGCAGGGTGAAGCAGGGCTGTTCTGCAATAGCTGGCAGAGTTCTCCATTTTGGGACGAGAACCGCAGCTTCCAGAAAGCTTTAGTTTCGGCTTCTGCTTTACTGAGTTACGGCTTCCCCAAGCTTTACGCTAACTGCGCTTGAGACGCAGGATAGCGCAGCCGCTGGGATCAGCTACGCCTAAATAAACTGAACCTTAAAATGGCCGGTTCGCCCCCTCCCCC